CTCAGCTGTGGGGAGCTTCCAGCTGCCTGTAGGCCCATGATGGGGTACAGAGAAGGTGATGGGGTATGTAGTGTTTGGTGGTGCAGTGCTGCCTTTGTCCTCAGCTGTAGGGAGCTTCCAGCTGCCTGTAGGTCCATGGCGCTGTATAGACTGGGGCTATGTGGGTTTCCTTATCCTTAGGTCCAGGTGCAACATTCTCCAGCTGAGTGGTGGAGGCTCTGGTCTGGTTACATCTGTACCCAGGGCTGCATCTGTCAGAGGGGACAATAAACAACCAAAGCGGTCACCTTCCATCACCTCAGACCTCTGCTGCGTCCTTGCCTGGGGTTTTCCTAGCCTCCTGCCAAGGCTGTCCATATCATGTCTTCATGATGGCCAGGCCTACTGTGCCACCCACCTACCGGTGACATGAGCCACCATCACTTTTCTGGCCACTGCCTCACTAGCGATGGTGCCAGGAACTCACTGGGCCCAGCCCACAGCTCTCCAGGGTAAAAGGATGGGGAGCTCCCTCTGCCCACAGCTGTGAGGAGCTTCCAGCTCCCTGCACGACTGATGGGGTACAGGCAGGATACTTATCCCTGGAGGGAGAGGACAGGGACGTGCTGTGGTCTGGTTCCACCCTGCTCTGGGTGTCCAGCTGTGATGCACAGGAGAAGCAGCAAAGGAAGAACAGCCACCCTGCCCTCCCCTGCCTAGCACAGCCCTTGGTGTGCCCACTCCCCTGTGACATGGGCCACCACCAGTGTTCTGCCTGCTGTGACGTGGCCGTGACATAGAATCGTAGAATGCTTTGGGTTGGAAGGGACCTTTAAAGCTCATCCAGTCCAACCCCCCTGCCATGAGCAGGAACACCTTTAACCAGATCAGCCCTGTCCAACCTGACCCTGGATGTTTCTAGGGATGGGGCCTCCACCACCTCTCTGGGCAACCTGTACTGGTGTTCCATCACCCTCATTGTAAAAAAATTCTTCCTTATATCCAGTCTAAATTTCCCCTCCTTAGTTTAAAACCATCACCCCTTGTCCTACAGACCCTCCAAAAAAGATTGTCCCCATCTTTCCTGTAGGTCCCCTTTAAGTACTGCAAGGCTGCAATCAGGTCCACCCGCAGCCTTCTCTTCTCCAGGCTGAGCACCCCCAACTCTCCCAGCCTGGCCTCAGAGCAGAGGGGCTCCAGCCCTCGGAGCATTTTAGTAGCCCTCCCCTGGCCCCGCTCCAACAGGTCCCTGTCTGTCCTGCGCTGGTGCATCACAGTGACATGGACCATTCAAACAAGAAGAAACAAATATTAATAAAATAATAGTAACAACTGATAATGCTGGGCAGGGAAACTAAGTAGCTGCAGCAGCAATTTAAAGAACAGCAGCTTAGCAAAGGTTAAAACAGAATTAAAAGCAGCAGGTCCTATCTACTGCCTGGTTTTAAAGACTTATGCTGCTGAGATCTGCGGGTTTGAAGGCTAAATTCTGCAAGAAAAATGCTTGTCAAATTGACTGGAGGCAATATTTCACGCATTTGAGATTAAAGACATGTCCAGTGCCAAACCCTGCATCTGTGAGTTGCTGATGGCACTGGGGACATCTCCCTGTGAACCGCAGGACTCCCATCTTTCTCTCCCTGACATGAACCAGAGATTTTGCCAGGGACTGTTTTGTGCTATGGACTTCAGTTGGACACTGAAACAAAATAGAAAAACTGTCTTCCATCTCCTTGGCTCACTGCAAAAGTATTGCATCCTCTTTAACTGACAGGACCAGAAGAAATGGGCACAGACTGAAACACAGGAGGTACCCTCAGAACACCAGGAAACACTTGTGGTTTTTTTGGTTTTTTTTTTTTTTTACTGTGAAGGTGACTGAGCACTGGCACAGGTTGCCCAGGGAGGTGGTGGAGTCTCCATCCTTGGACATATTCAATATCTGTCTAGACAGCGTCCTGGGCAACTGGCTCTCAGTGTCCCTGCTTGAGCAGGAGGGTTGGAAAAGATGACCTCAGAAGGTCCTGTTCTGTGAAAACAAAAGTCTACTTGAACTTGATTATATAAACTGTACAAAATCTTCCACAGAAAAAGAAGTAACGAAATGAATACCAACAGAAAGATGTTCTCTTGTTTACTGGATGTGGTCTTACCGTGACCCTCAGGAAGAGCAGAGAACCGCATGCAATGCGTGTGCTGCGAGCTATTTCAGACTGTCGAAAAGCTCAGCGATGTGGCCTGCTTTGCCTGTGACTTCTTCCTGTTTTGCACGCTGAGCCACAGAATTAAATTTAAGGACTTTGAGCTGTACTCCTGTTTGCTGCTCCTCTTGCCGTTAGCGTTTGGTCTTGTTTTCTGAAACGCGACTGTGGGTCTCTAATCAGAGAATTGCTAGTTTGGAGCTTTTTACAATACTTCCTTGCAGATGCAGGTTTCCAGGTTTTAGCGTTCCTGAAAAGACAGCGTGGTGTGCCTGTTCCCCTTGGAGCAAGTAGCACGTCAGCGGTGCAGTCTGTGCGTCCTTTCCACAGCACAGTGTGGCTGTAGTTGTGCAGTTTGTGGCCTCGTACCCTCCAGAATGGATGGGCAATATTTATATATATATTTGGGCACTATTGTATATATGGGCACGACGTGGTGCTTGGCTGAAGCCCGTCTTGTGCGGTACGTGCAACCTCCCTGCCTCAGGAACTCATTGCTCTTGTTAGTTCCAAGTGCTGGTGGGGTGGTGGTTTTGGTAGCATGAAGATGATAGGACGAGGGGGAATGGTTTGAAGCTGCGCCAGGGCAGGTTTAGGTTGGACATTAGGAAAAACTTCTTCACCGAAAGGGCTGTCAGGCTCTGGAATGGGCTGCCCAGGGAGGTGGTCGAGTCCTCATCACTTGGAGGTATTTGGGAGAGGGATAGATGAGGTGCTTAGGGACAGGGTTTAGTGGTGGGATGGCAGGGTTAGGTTAACGGTTGGACTCGATGATCTCAAAGGTCTTTTCCAACCAAAGTGATTCTATGATTCTGATTCTAAGACTTGAGTCCTGTATATGTGCGTTGTATGACATATGGGAGAAGTATAGGGCCTTTGGAGACAGTATTGGCTGGCTGGTTTTGGAGTACAGAGCAAAACTATTCCATGGTTCACTCCAGACAGGCAGAATGGATATAGACTGTAGCTAAAATATTCTTTCAATGTTACTTCCTCCACCCTTACAGGCTGCCTACCAGAAGCAGCCAACTGTTACAGAGGTGTTGTGGCTCGCTGAGGGACCAGGATTTGGGAACAAACCAGAACAAGACCAACTCGCAATGTAAATGTACCCCCAGGGGGTTGGCAGAGACATGGGATGTTCTGTAGGGAACCTTCTACCTCTGAAGTACAGGACCTACAGCCGTATGCAGGGGCTGTGATTTGCTCTACCATCCCCTTTCCCTCCCACTGCAGTAACTAGCCTGAGTCACTGCTTGCCTGCAGTTACCCAACTGATTTTTCACATAAAAATGTTGGGGTGGTTGCTGACGAGAAAACAAACATTTCTTGCTTCACAAGAGGAAATGAGACCCTACAATTTTGAAGAGAAATTGTAAATGAGAACTTGATGCAAGTGCTGCTGCTGGTCTTACAGTGTGTATATAAGGTGATTAGCTGTGCCGCGGCCAACGCTCCATTTCTCCTCATTAGGAGTTCCTACAAATAGGTGCTCTGGTGTGCTTGGACCTTGGGGACTGACCCTGATTTTATTTTAAAAAAGCTTAAAACAACTGCTGATTAAAAACAAAAGGCTGGCTGGCAAAGCTTGATCTACTTTATTTGTGGCTGTCAAATTTCCTAAATTCTAAGCAAATTTGAGACCGACTTTTTTTTTTTTTCCCCTTCTTCCAGGCTACATATGCAAAGAGTGTCTGCACAACAAAAAATGATCGCTATGAGAGCTGTAAACTGCCACTTATTTTGACAGGGTATTAGCTTTGAAACCTAACTCTGGCAGTAAGTACACATTGCTAACATGATTGGGAGTGAAAGAACCTGTAAGAAATACTCAGCTAATGCCCTTGTACTCTAATTCTCCAATTGTTTCAGATTATGCATCCTGATGAGCTACAAAAAAAACATAATTCTGTCTCAGTAGGCAGCTGTGCAGTACATGGGAAACTGAAGAAGAAGCAGCATAATGCTGAATTCAGCAGAGTATATTTTGTTGTTGTTGTTGTTTAATAAAGACTCAAGCCTTTCTTAAGCATGTTGATGTTGCAGAGTCTCAACTGCTGCAGGATATGACCTCACAGTTCTGTCCTGTATCTGATTCTGGCAGTAAATTTTTATACATAGCCGTTTAAACTATACCTCGCATCCGCAACAGGCTTGTCTCCTTCCCTCTGCTTAAGTATAACCACTTCAAAATTTAACTCCATGGGACTGCTAGTGTAGGTTATGTAAAGTTCCTGATTGGGAACTAGTCAGAAACAGCACAGGTAACTTGCAAAAAGACCGTTTTAAGAGGAAGGAGTACCAGCTTTCTAGAGATGGAATTTATATATGTTAGTGTAATAATTTTATAGGAAAAAACAATGCAGAACTTTTTCTTTTTCCTGTGCTCATCTATGTTCAGACTCTGTCCCATCCCATGCAGCAGCTTGTCTGTCTCTGTCCCAAATGCTTCTTGCTTCCATTTCTTTGTGACGGTGAATCTGAAGTACTGAAGGGGAGGTTCTGATAGTTTCATCCTCTCTCCTCCCAGCTTGTCAGTAATGCAAAACCCCGCTCTCCGTGAGAATGAGAGGACTCTCTGAATGTACTTGGTAGAGTCTCCTTGAAACGGGATAGGAAAACATTGCCTGACCTCTGGTTGCTCTTTACTTCCCACGTATCAAATGGCAAGCCTCAAAGCTATTTAAAAATTAAGAATGCTTCACAAATTTACATCTTAAAATGGTAGATTAATGTCTCTGAGGGCACTTGCATCACATTCGTAGGTGCTGCCAGATTGGGAAAGTAGATGGTTGAGGGCAGAGCTGCTATTCAGGGGGAAGTAGACAGGCAGGGACAATGGACCAGCAGGGACATTAAGTTAAATTCGATGAGGACAGGCTGCACTTGAGAAAGAGGAACCCCCTGTGGCACTGCAAGCTGGGGCTTGGCTCTGCTGCACAGGCCCTGGGAGTCTGCAGGCAGTGTGCTGAACAGGAGCCAGCCGCCTCTCCTGGCATCCTGGGCCCTTGTGGGGCAGGAGTTATCTCCCTTTACTCAGCACTTGTTAGCCCGCATCCAGATACCGTGTCTGGTTTTGGGGCCCCCCAGTACAAGATAGGTATTGACAAACTGGTGCGAGTTCAGCAGAGGGGCTCCAAGATGGTTGGAGGCTGGAGTGCTTGCCCTGTGAGGTGAGAGTGAGGGAACTGGTGCTGTTTCTCCTACTTACCACCTTCCTGCTGGACCGAGGCGATAGAGCCACAGTCAGAAACCCAACTCCAGCCCAGTCACCAGCCAGAGGCACCTCTTCCCTTCCCTGTCCCTTTTCTGGCCCCAATAGCGTACGTTCAGGTAGCACCAGCCTCTCCTTCCAGGGCCCTCCTGGCCGCTGTCACCTTATCTGCTGCCTCCTTGCACGCTGCTGGCAGCAGCCAGGACCCCTTCCCCACCCGGAGCAGGAGGAACAGCATCTGTTGCTTCTTGATTGCTGCCTTGTCCTGCCTCCTGACCTATATATATGTGTGTTTGTGTGTGTGTGGCTGCAAGGGGTGGGCCCTATGGCGTGGCTGCTTGTCAGATGTGTAGTAAGCTGTTTTGCTGGCAGGAGAGGTGCCCCCATCCCTGTGTGCTCGGAGGATGTGGGTCTGGCCTCCATCCCCAGTGCTGCCCTCTGCCCTGCCCTCTTTGCCTTTGGGAGTTTGGTCCCTGTGGGCTTGAAGGACCCTGCTCTCCGCCAGATGCTTTTTCCACCAGTAAGTAATCCTCTGAAAGCCAGTATCAGCGTGGGGCTCGGAGGCTTTGAAGGGTCCGTCTCCCCATTCTTTGGGGAGAGTCAGCGCTGCTTCTGGCAGACACCCTGCCTGGTGCTGAGCTCAGGCCTGTGCACGCGCATTCCTATCATGGCAGGCAGACCCTGCCAAAGCCATGGGACTGAAATGGAGTCAGCCTCGTCTTTTTTCCCCCCTAACCACTTTCTAGCATGGGATAGCCACCTCAGCCTCACTACTGGAATATTGCCTGCTCAGCTTCACAGGGCAGTGAGGGAGAAACCAGTGCCTGGCAGTCAGCACCTGAACCCCTTGGGGTATCCATACCAGACAGTCACCGGTGCTTCGGGAGCAGCTGAGGCACCCTAGGAAAGACCACAAGTTGCCTTGGTGGGGTAAGGCTGCAGGTACTGAGCTCACCACAGCACCTTTGCCCTCACCACCCACCCTCTGTCCCTCCCACGGCGATGCTGCGCTTGCTGGCACAGTGGCTGGGGTCCCTACCCCGACCTGCGTTCCCTGAGCTGCTCCGCTGTCCGTCAGTGCTTCAGCTGCTCTTCCAGAAAGTCTTGTTGGCCAACAGCATGGACATTTGGCATGCTTGGTGGATACTGAAGGAATTGCTGTTTTCCCATCACTGATGTCCGTGTACTGCTTGACTTCAGAAGGATCACTAAATTGTGCAGGCTTTTCAAATCGCTAAATCCATGGGAAGAATTTGAATTGCTTTGTTAGAGCCATTGGGGACACAAGGATATCCTAGGGCGTTGCTTTTATTAAGGAATGCCTATTTTTGTATGAAACAGCCTCGTTTATTTCTGCTTAAGACAGGAAGCTTTAGGCAGTCTCGTGTTGGGGTTTTTTTTTAAGGATATTAAAATAATGTCCAAACACTGTAGTTGATAATCTCTAAGGAACTTCTCTTTTGCTTATGCTAGGCCTCTGCGTTGTGATTAACGGAGCTTACTGACCTACTAATCCCAGCAACGGTTAAGAGCGGGCCCTTCAGTTGTCGGACTTTGTGTTTCTAAGCTAATTGAATTTGGTGCTAACTTCCTGCTGCCGCCTTGCTTGGCTTCAGAAGCTTGAGAGATTCTTTTCGAAGCGGTGATCTGTTATAGTTATTTTGGAATACATCAGTAAACTACTTAAAGCTGCTAGTAAGCCTCTCGCCTCAGCATCACCATATTGCATCCATAGGTGGGATTGATGACATTTCCTTGGAACTTAGAAATACCACGGGATGCTGCATAGCTTGGCTAATCTGATATCCCCTCCTAGTGCCTCTTGCTTCACGTGACAGGAAAGTTAGTGTTGATGGAAGGAAAGTTAATGCTGAGTGACTGTGCAGTGACGCTAACGACTTCAGAAAATAGGCTTTGTGTAAAGGCATAGCAGACTTTCTTCTTCCTAAACCCAGTCTCTAATAGTAAACGTGTGTTGTGTGTTTGAACATTACAGCTTTTCTGCTTTGAAAAGTGAACCTTGGTAAGAGCGACTGAGAGGCTTTCGGATGTATTACTTTATTTCATAACTGTAAAGCAAAACAGCAAAAAACCTGGTTTTTGAGAATTTGCAATAGGGTTAAACGTCAACAGTGGAAGCTCTTGATATCTTTTAGCCCCACCTGACTGCAGTGCCGTTTGAAATTCTCAGCTTAGGACGGTAAGTGGTGTTCGTACCCAAGCAGTACATTGCAAGAAGCTAAACTGGTCCCTAGGCTTTGAAGCTCCAACTCGGAGAAAGACTGGGAAGCAGGAAACAATGAAAAGCTGTCAGGATTGTGCGGCGGGCGGTTGTGCTAACAGCTGTCGTGAGATCAGTCTTCTGACACGATCGAATGCGTGACCCAGAGCGTGAGACACATCATCACCGCATCTGAGTTTATACCAAGTCCTGTAAAATTCCTTCTTTCTGTTTCCCAGGAGTTTCAGGTCATCTGGGGAAAGCTTTCAGATTTTCTTCTTTAGCTTGTACCTACTTTTTTTTTTTTTTCTCTCCCTTCTTTTCTGATTGCAGGAAGCTTTAGCTGACCGAGTGCCACCTGAGCAGATTAAATTAATTATTACATAATTATTAAATTAATGTTATTTGGATGCCATTTTGGCTGACTCACTTTTGTTCCCTAGGAAATAACTAAGGGAGCTTCAATCAAAACTGCATGTTAATCTCTTTGTAAAATAAACGTTTGCACTGTTGCTTCGCCAAAATCTTGCCTCAGTTTTGCAAAACTCCAGACCATAAACTGTGTGGTGATGTGCTACACCTTACTCTATTCTTGCAGGCAAACAATACGGTGTATCCTAAAAAGCTATTAAAGATGCAGTATAATTTAATAACCTTATTTTAAAGCAAAACTGTGTTGAATTATGATAGTGTGAAATGAGATTTTCATGTACTTTTGCCTCAGACTCCTTTCAGATTAGTCATTTGTTTTCTGGTTGGCTGCCTATGAACAGCTAAAAGGGAAGTTTTCACTTCTGGGATTTAATATTTGTTGTGCCCCATTGTTTTTATTTGTAGGCCTTTTTTAGCTGTGTTAGGAGTGATGGCTGGCTTTGGTTGCAGAGCCATCTGAGAGCCTGACTTACCTTTTAAGGCATGAAGAAATTAAAATTTATTTTAAATTCATGTCTCATCCTGCTAGTGTTCAAGATCTGTTGGCAAGCAATGGGAATAGTTTCAGATTTTGCTCAGGTTTTATTGATTTCCCCCCCCACTACCACCCCCCCTTAATGAAAGTTCATGCAGCTCATATCATTGTGCTTTTCCCAG